TTTTTCAAAGGAAAAAAAAAAAAAAAAAAAAAAGGGACAAATAAAACATCTGTAAGCAACCACTCTCAAAGTGCGTTCTCCCTAGATCCCTGAGTCAACACAGGGGCACAAACCCAAGGGACAGCTCTTCGGGTAAGAGAGGAAAAATGCATCACCAGACCAGTCGCCATCCTGTTAATCACCCAAACGAAGAGCATTTCCTGCAAAGCAACCCAAATTAAAGTTCACGCGCCCCGAATTTAGCACTCCGAGGGGAGCAGGCGAGCCTGAACCCTGCCAACAACCAGAAGCCGCTGCCGCAGAGGACTCGAGCTCGGGATAATAAGCTCTAACTGGAAAGCGGAGCTGGCACCACGGCACGGCTCCAAGCCCAGAGCAAAGCGGGCTGCTCCACACCCTCAGGTGGTGGGTGCTCTGCCAGGCAGAACTACGGAAGGAAGGGTGCTTCACAGAATGTTTGGGTCAGGAGGGACCTTTTTGAAGACCACCTCCGACTCAACTTCGAGCCCTGCTGCGTTTGCCTTCCAGCTCAGCAGCCCAAGAAAAAGCGATGTGTTTTCTGGCCACTTTTCCTGCTTTTTTTTTTTTTAACAGACTGGAAGAAGGTTGGTCGCCTTCTTGACTCCGTCGTGGAGCGACAGTGCTGTCCCTGGCCGTGCAAAGCTCTGCAGAGGGACAGACAGAACGACACCACCTGTCAGGGCCAGCGAGGTGCACGTGGAAGAGACAAAAATCTTCCATCGGGGTCCATAACAGGTGGCCAAGTCACACCCCCACGGTACACAAACACTGAAAGACGGAAGCGGCAAATTCTCAGAACTTTTATCCATTTAATCATTTCTATACCAACATCTGGAATAGGACCAGGCTTGGTAAAGCCTGCTGGGGCTATCCAAGGAACGGTAACATGCAATGCTTGCTGCGGCTTTTCCTCCTCTCTTTCGCTTTGGTAGCTGATACTCCCAGAATTTTTTCTCCCTCCTCCTCATTGTTGGCATCTATTAATGGCATTTTCAACTTTCTCTTCTGGCAAATTACATTTAAATATAAGCTAATGAGCAGTCCAACTTTAACCTTTTCCCCACCTCATGCTACGTTAAACCATCTGCCACTTCAAACTCTATTCCAGAGAGACACAAACCCGCAACGTCACGTTACTACTAAGGAGCTGCTCTGTATTTTTACTATGTCCTGCCCCTTAAAGACCATCCGGTTTGAGGAAGATTCGGAAACAAAAACGGAGCGCAGCAAGGCATCCTGCGGGAACGACGGGACAGGGCTCGCCCTACCTGGACACGTGCCAGCGCCGAGATCTTTTCATCCCACATTACTCTAATAACTGAAAGTCTCCGATTTCCAGCGGAGCACAAAACCACCTTTGAGAACGCGTTACCTTGAAATAACGTTTTAGCAGATGGGAATGGCAACCCAGGAGCTAGAGAGACGCTCGCAGAAGCCAGGCAGGGATGAGATTGTCATCTGCGACGCTTGTTCTCTTGGTGGTCGACCACAGGCAGATCCATGGAGATCACAAAGACCTCCTCCTCCTCCTCTTCCTCCCTGTCTTGTCACACCCCTCCTTGCTGCCAGTGCTCCCCCGAGTCTGCCACTGTCCCCCCCCAGCAGCAGCACAAGCCACTGGTGTCTGCACGCAAGGGGAGGGCAGAGCTACAGGGCACGCATGCGTTGGTGCAACACTTGCCCCTCGCACCACCTCACGCGGCAATTTTACTCAAATGAGACCCCTGTGCAAATTAGAAGCCAGCTCTACGTCCATTCTAGCACGCTCCTTGCAGAGAAGCTTGTTCGAACAAAATCTTTGAAATTTTGCTGATGTTTCTAAGAGAATATGAGACGCTAGAAGAAAAATTCACATTTTTTGAGACACTCATCCTTCCCAACACATCGTTACTTACTTCACTAACGAAGCAGCTTCAGGAAGCACTTCTGCAAACGTATCGCGAAAGACAATCGCGTTTTTTCTCTTGCAGTTCTGTATGACGTCATTGGCCAAGTAAAAAAGGTTCAGTCGATGAGGAAAGGCAGCTAAAGACAAAAAGAAAATTCAGATTCGTCATCAAGAAGTAGTAGTCACGTCAGCCACATTTTGATAACAACATTTAAGTGTTGGCTTTTTGGGGGGGGCGTTCAGCATTTCCGTCAATGGCGCATCCAAGGGCAAGTTCGATGGTCAAAACCGGGGACTAGAGAGGAAATCTACAGTTTACAAACAATTTCCAGATCTTCCCCAAAACTGCATGTTCGGTAACGTCAAGCCTCGACTCTGACTTCGGCTGTTGACCCTGCGCTGTTTCGACCGTACCCGCACAGCAAAAGGAACTGTACAGCCAGCACCGCCCGTGGGAAGAGGCCAAAGACAAAACGGCACAAACTTCTGCAGGGGAAAAAAAACCCAACCGCTCCAGAGCCCGGGTTTGGTCTGGTCTCCGAAGTTCCAGCATCGCCCCCTTGGGCTACTGACTCAGTGCAACCTCACATTTAATAATTTAGAGGCCACTTCCTCATATTTCCTAAGAATCATCATGTATAAATCTCCCTTTTTTTAAAGCTGTAATGGCTTAAAATGGTCTCTTAAGATTCCCAGCTTTACCGGGGAGGTTCTACCAGGCACATACCTGTGTCTGTAGGTGTCCAGAAGGCACTTACTACAGACAGGGAGAGACCTTCTCCACACCTCTTTAAATGCCTTCTATTAACAAAACCAATGTTTATTAATATGTTTAATAAGAGCTGCCGGGTCCTTGGACGCGGTTGCCTGGACGGCCTTTTCCGACGTGCGATTTAACGCCAGCCAGGCACCAGCTTTTGTGTGGCACACAAAGGACCCCGGATCCCCGTCCCTTCTCCTCTAGAGATCGATTTCTCCAAAAACACCTCCCCTGGCCCCTGCTGAGCCAGCACTGACCTTCGCACCCAGACCTCCCACCCACAGCCGCGCTCCAAACACATCCGCACCAAACGCACCTCTCATCTTCCTTATATTCCGCTCCAAATTTAATTATTTCATCAAACCTCTTCTTCACTCAGCCAGTAACAGCGCTTGTAGCGCATTAAGCTCATCAACATGCTAATTAGCTTCTTCACTTAATTTAATGACACAACACGAGGATTTAAATATAGGAACAGTGACAATAGATGGTTTTGTTTCACGTGCCCGTGAGCTCTACCAGACTCCCACCTTCCCTGCGTTTTGTTCCCCTCCGGCTGTACCCCAGCCACGTTAGTAATTGGGAGGTTTTATCTACAAGTCCCTTAAATTCTCTATCCCGCTTCATTTTCCAGTCGTCCCTACCTCGGCAGAGCCTCTTCCCACGGAGCAGCTACACCTTGCGGCTCTCCTGGTCTCCGGGTTTCTTGTTGGGATGCTCTTGGCATCATCCCTGGTCCAGAGCCCTTGGTGGGAGCTTACCCCTTACTGACACCACTCTCGCATTCACAACCTGTCGCAGAAAATCCCCAAACCACCCACTGCGGCAACTCGATCTCCGGCAGCTCCGTGCTCTCCTCCTGCTCAAAGCCAACCAGAAATAAAGCCAGGGTTTTCACAAAACTCATTTGTGCCTTTAGACCACGCCTAAGGAAAAACCACTACATGAGTATTTTCCAGTCAACAACAAGCTCACACACTTTTATTGGAAACTAATTGTTAAATTTTATCGCCTGCCTCTTTTCCAACGTTCCTCTCTGACACAGAGAAGAGGGCCAGTGGCCACCAACGGACTTCTGGCAAGCAGCCCATCAAAGCAGGATCGTAGCCACAGAAATAAGGGGTCAGCTCATTTTTAGCGTACAGAATGCAATTATTCAAAAGCCTTATTATAAGGCAGAGAATCCCTCCTTACGTACGGGATGCTGGGCATGAAACGCTGCTGCTTTCGGAGGCTCCGCTCCATACACAACTCTCGCTTGTGCTCTCGCACTCCTTTCCTGCAGAAGGGCTCGATCCCGGACAAGGAATCAGCACCAAGCAAGCAGACCGGGGGCCAGCACCCACCTAGCACACGGGTCCTGGCACGCAGCAAGCTTGGTTTCAAACGTTTTGACCATACGAGCTCTACGCTGACCTGTCGATATTAAGGGAAAATATAGCAAGTTGTTTGTTCAAAATGAAGATCTTTCACAGAAGACAGCCTCTTCAGGAAAGCAAAGCTGAAGATACATGCAAAGGCTGAGTTCGGTTTGATTGTCAAATCCTCAACAGGTTGATGCGAAGCCTCCACGAGCCCCTACAAGCGGGATTGATTCTTCTCGCTCGTTGCTGGCGCCCGCCGAGTGTCACTACAGACCGGCGGGTGAGCAAGAAGCACCGTCCGGCCCTAAACCCGAGGCAGGAACAGCAGGGCAGGTCAAGAGGACAGTCAGCCCCCGGGATATCCCCGCTCCCCACGGCCCCGGCCATCGGGGGACACAGCCAAAGGTACGAGACCCGAGCCAGGCATTGCCCAGCCACTGCCTCCTCCAGCGCCGCAGCCAGCTTCTCACCTGCAACTTTGCTCCTCACGTATTTTCCAGCGGGTTTTTTTTGCTGAAGGTATTTTCCATCCTTCCCACTAGGCTACTCCAACACCGGCCCAGCAGCTGCCGTGTCAAGGAGCCTCAACTCCCGTGTCGCAGAATAAGCTTTTATAGCAACAAACACAACAAGCCCAAGAATTCGTTACCCGAAACGGTTATTTACAACCTTCACCCTAAACGTGCTTACACAGCAGATCGGGATTTTGTTTGTTTGAGCGAGAAGCAGAGTGAGGAGCACTGGAGCCTGGAGGGCTGGAAATCCAACCGGAGCGGTGCTGCGCTCACCTGGCTTCCCAAAACGATTTGGAGCCAGCTTTCCCCAAAACGCCAGCCTCAATAATCTATCAGATCATCATCCCATCAAAATGAGTTTTCTGCAATTTAATTAAAACCCAGCACTCCACTGCTAATTCACCTGCCGGTCACCAGAGGCTCTTTCTATCCCAGTGATGTTAGTCACTAGCAGCGATAGAGCTGATTTCAGATCTTTTATGTCATAACACAAAACAGATCCTGAAGATATATAAACCTTTGATTTAAACGATTCAATGTATACACAGCATTCAAACGCAGCAGAAAGAAATCTGGAGCCAAATTCAAATAAACACCAAACGCACGGAGCACAGCTTGCACCATCACCTCCACCACTGTTTCCACAAGGCTGGATGCAGACCTCAGCCAAGGCAGAATTAATTTAGCTCCTTGATTTAGAGCTAATATTTATAAAACAAGATTCACCCAAATTGCACAGTAGCAAAAATCCAATACCCAGGCTAAGGACAAGCAGCACAAAGCAAACGAAGTGCCTTCAGGTCCAAGACACGCTTTGTACAAGGGGTTTTAGCCATGTTATGCAACTGGCCGTATCTGATGGGTGAACAGCTTCTTAATTACTCTGAGATTGTCTTGGCTTAAACCGGAGAGGAAATATAGACAAGAAACAGGAAATTTTATAACTGAGCCCACCCCAGCTTTTTGCTCAGCTCCAGGACAGTCGCCTGCTCCACCGACCGACATGTTCGGTCGGCCGGCGTGTGATGTCTCCAATTTAACTCGCATTTAAGAGCCGCTCGTGTGAACGCACCGACGAGACGACCCTCCTGCAAGAAAGCTCTTGATTCACAACGGAAACTTCCCAGAGGTAAAGTTATCGCAGCATTACCTTACAGAAACATTTATGGTGTGAAGCTCTCGGCCAACAACCGCAGCCGTGACCGGCTCGTGCTCAGGACAAGCCTTGACCCAGGAAGGGAGGTGCCCAGGCCAACAGCAACATATTTAAATACCAGTTGTCATTTTTGTTTTTCCTGAAAGGATCAAACTCTTTGTCCAAGTAGCCTCATACCTCTATGGTTGAACTGGACATTTCACATCAGCTGAAACAAATCTCTAACAATGAAGTGCAGAAAAATCCCTTGAGATACTGTAAAATAAAGATGCTAAGAAATACCCACAGCAAAATGCAGTCCTTTCCTCTCAAGAGTGTGCAGAGGGAGAGGGATCGACCACCCCCAGGGTGGGAGCACCCACGAGACCACCAATGCTTCCGCAAAATCCCTTCACAGCCCAAGGCAGGAGCACTAACCGCCCCGCAGGCCAGCCCAACGCCTACTTACTCTGATTTATAGAGGATAAAGAATAAAAAGGCCAATTTCTTTTTCCCACACTTGACGTTTTCTACAAGCCTCCTGCAAGAAACTGTCCCCAGCCCAACGCTGGCATCGCTGGAGAGACACTGGGCAGGAACCGCACTGCTCAAGGGTTTCACACTTAACAGAGACGTGCATCTAAGAGATACGAAGGCACTTCTCCCTCCGATCAAACACAGGTGCCTTCATCTTCACCCGGGCAGAGGGCTGAGATACAGCCCCTGACCCCACTACATCCATCCTTCACAAGGAACTCCCTGGGAAAAGCAGCTTTTATGGGTTCTTAGAAGTTTTACAGTTAAAATATTTAAAAGCTGGGAAAGGAACCCAAAAGCAAGCTGTGCTCGCCGCTGTTATTACCACTGAACTCCTCCGGTTGGGACCGCGACTTCCCACTGTGTGAGAACACGGAGAGGCTGTGAGGTCCTTGGGGCAGAGAACGAAGTGTACCATGAAGGGAAAGGCAGGGAAAAAAACCCACACAAGTGGGAAGCAACCAAATAACCAGGGGTCAGGGCACAGCAGCATCACAGCCGCTCTCAAGGGTTGTTTTAGCTGGTACCTCAGACAAGATGCTTAAGGAGGAATTGAGGGGTGTTGAGGGGAGATCTTCGTGAGGGCTGTGCAAGGAAAGCCTTGAAAGCGCTGGTACCAAAATAAAACTAAGAGTCCAGGCTGGCACCAAGGACTCAGGGGCAGGAGCTGACAGCCCAGCAGCACGTGTGAGCCAGCAGGGCAGGAACAGAGCATCAAAGGTCCTGCAAGTGGGAACAATCAACTGACTGTTGATAAGCTTGGGAAGGAGGAGTGCAAGGGAGAAAAAAGGGGCAGAGCCAAAGTAGCGTCCCTGGAAGCTCAGCT